GCCTCCGCCGCCTGGTACCTCTACTTCTCAAGCAAGAGTGACGGCGACTGAGTAACACCAACGTTAACTCATAGTCACTCCCTCAAACTTGGTATGGAACCTAAAAGGTTTGAGTAGACCGCCTGTTTTTTGGCAAACAGGGGCACTCAAACCCCTATTCCTACTAGGTAACCACTCGGGTTAATAGCCAACAAACATTGGCGAATCAAGGGGATTCGCCGCCTGGTACTTCTACTACTCAATCTAGAGTGGGACGGAGACTAAGTAACTCCTATGTTAGCTTATGGTCACTCCCTCAAACTTAGTATGGAGCCTAAAAGGTATGAGTCGTCCGCCTGTTTTTAGCAAACAGGGGCTCTCAACCACTACTCCTGCTAGGTTAACAACTTATGAGTTAAAAGCCAACAAACATTGGCGAATAAAGGGGAACAACCGGTACCCGCCGCTTAATACCTCTACTACTCAGTTCCTTGGCAACTAGGTAACAATCATGTTTACTTGGTCAGACAACTTTCCTACTTGGTTAAATTTACAAATGACAGGACCGCCTGCCTAAAGGGGATCCAGTTTAAAATAGTTCGAATACCGATTGGATAAATGGCCGACTGGTCGTCTAGCCTGGAAACAGACAACCAGTCGTCCAGGGGCATAGGCGGCGTGACTAACTATCCGTACCTGTCTGCAACTATCGGCCATGTAAAACAGTCGGTATAGTGAACAATTGGATATCAGAATATTCAATACTTAGACAAATTTGAAGCAAAACAAAAAATTCATTAAAAAGAAGCCGGTCATTAAAGACCGGAAAAATATTCAGAGCCCCGGCCCCCTGGCCGGGTAAATACAAAACAAACGGCACGCAGGCCATGGAAAGAAGACATAAAGCTTAAGAAGGGGGCAGATCTTCAATATTAGCAGCTGCCGCCTGGTCAGCACTCTTCTTGCTGGACTCGGCTTCAGCTGCATTCTTCTTGGATGCATTACCCCCAAGCGGCACAAGCGCCACTACCGGCTCCTCCTCCTCCAACGCTTCCTCCAACGCCTCTTCCTCAGCAGCCGCCAGGATCTCTTGATTATATGTATCAGAACACTAGCGGTACGTTTTTTCCCATGAGGCAAAGTCGGCATTGGGGAAGAGGCGGCCCCAAGTCATGCGCTGGATTTGAGCAGAGTCTTCCATCATCTCCCGGACCAGCTCTTTCTTTTCTTGCTCGGCCTTTTCCGAGAGCTCCTGAGTAAGACTCTTCTCCTGGGTCACCAGGCGTTCCTTTACGTTGGCCAAGGATTTCTCCAAGGCTTCGTATGAGTACATCTTTAGGCGAAGAGGTTTCAGCTCGGCCTTGAGATTGGTGATGGTCGCCTCCAGCTCGTCATTCCTCTTCTGGGCCGCCTCTAACTGAGCCCGAATAGCGGCGGTAGCCTGCGCCTGATAATAAAGAATATCAATGGTCAGAACTTCATTTTGGGCAATTTGAAACATAACCTTATCACACTTGGAGGCGGCCATGGCTTTTGCAGCCTTTACCTCTTTGTTCTTCCGGTCAAGCGGCTTGCGAAGGCCGTTCACTCGGAGCAGGGCCTAAGTAAAAAGGGGAACAGGCGTCAGTTTCCAAACAAAAAGAAAACAGGCGTCCTGGAATTCAAATACTCAAAAATATGCTAAGTATACCTCAGCAAGGACCCCTGCAATCCCGTCTAGGTCAAGGGTGCCGACACCCCTGACCGCCTCCCTTTCAGCTGGAGGAACGGCCTTGATCATAGACTTGGCCACCTCGACCAAGTCAGGCTCCTGAGGGCCGGCTGCATCAAGCATAAACAAACGGATTAGACCTAGTAAAAAAGGGAGCAAGTCTAAAATTTACAAGGACAACTTCATACTTCTAGGCGGCCCAGCTGGAGTTTTAGAAGAAGTGGTCGGTTGTTTCTCAGCCGCCACATGTTTCCTGGCAGAACCAGGAGAGCTCGCAACAGGCGTCCTCCGGGCCTTGGGGTCCGGCTGTTGGGAAGAAGAAGCTCTTGGAGCACCCGTCTAAAAAAGAAGAAAAAAGTCAGTATATGCATAAACACAACTCCAAAAAGAGGGTGAAAGGTTCGAAGCCCACCAAGGGTGCCCCCTTGTTGGGGGAGTCGGTTGAAGCTTGTTGCATGATGGAGGCCCGCAACATGGCCGCCGCAGTCTTGGAGGCTGTAATTTTGCTCATGGCGTCCGCTGCAAAAACAAATAGCAAAGTTAATAAAAGTCATAACAAGAAATGCATGGAACAACAAAGTATTCGACAGGCCGGCTACCTCTTGAGCACCGACTGCTGAGGCCACAGGCGGCCAAAAAGTACTCGTCGTAGAGCCATTTGAAGCTCGGGACGCAGTGCAGGGGTACTTGCTCTCGTACCCCTGAAGTAGAGTTCACCTTCGACTCTACTTTAAAGAGTCTTTTATCAAGGATCTCTTTCTTAGCCTTGGGGGGGAACAGGCGGCATGCTGCGGCCGCCTGCAAGAAGGGGCGGATTCCTGTTCCACCTGTTGAGGCGCTTGTTCAGCTCTGTGTCTGAACTCTCAATGATGAAGAAGGTGCACCGCCAGTCCTTCCATTTGTTTGCTTTACCTCTCGTCATGAGGTAGCCCCTGTGGCTCGTCAATTGATACCAGCCGGTACCGTCTGCCTTAGGGGTCCGGCTGAGGTAGTTCATGTGGGCGAAAGCCTCGAAGCTCGGCTCCACCCCGTGCAGTTCGCACCCGGCCACATAGCCGAGTACATTGACCCAGGAGTTCGGGGCTAACTGCCATAACCCCAACTCATACCCATCCAAGATCCGTTGAACAGCCGGATGTAGTGGGAAGCGCAGCCCAGCCTTGATGGCCGCCTCGTAGCAGCCAAAGCAGGCGCTATCATAACTGGTACCAGCCGGCCAGACGACTGTGTCTTCTGGATCCGGCACAAACACTAAAAAGCCGGGGCCCATTGTGTGGTTTGCGATAAAGCTCTCCACTTTCTCTTGCATGGCTGTGATCCGGCCCCGAGGTACCGTGCAGTAGTAGGGGGTATTTTGCTCTCGGTAAGAGGCGGATGGCTCCGCCCAATTGTCCCCCTTCTCAACTGCGTGAGAAAGCCTCGCCTCTTGCAGGCGACTGTTTTTCTCTTCTGTGTCCAGAGAAGCATGGCCAGAAGAGCTAGACTCGGAATCGTCCTCTGACGAGTCCGAAGAGGACGACTCCTCCCCTCTCCCGGAGGGGCCCGCCTCCTCTCCTTTAAAAGGAGCAGGAGAGTATGAAGAATTGTCAACTGAGAAATGGGAAGGGGTCACTTTGATTCCTCCCTCAGAACAGCCGGCTTTCAAGCCGCTTTGTTTCACTTCCACATCTGGCGCCTGGTCAGATGTTTCACTAATCGGCACCCTGCGGGAGGAGCCGTCTGAATTTGAGATCCTGGCAGTCTTTTTTGTTCTGGCCATCATGCTCTGCATAGACACAGATACAGTCGGACTTTGTATAAAGGGCAAAGATGGGTCCGGAAAAGGGCAGGCGGCACTCCTAGTCCTAGATTCAGCCGTCCCCGGTGACCGACTGATCACTAACCTAGGTCGTGTCGTATGCTTCCGTGGTGCCATTTCAAAAAAAAAAAAAGAATAAAATAAAGAGAAAATTAAGAGTAAGAGAACCGACGGTTACCTGAACGGGTGACGTTGATGGAGTTCTGAAAATCCTGTGCAGGCGGCTTGTCAGAACAGGCGGTAGGCAGAAAAGGTCCAAATTGTCAGAGCAAGTTCAGGGGTCCGAATGTTCTCTCACAAAGTTCTCAAGTGTGAAAATGACTGAAGTCAACACTCCCTTATATAAGCGAAGTGAGAAGGCGAAGGGTCACTTTCAGAATTCAAAATTTGGGCGGGAAAATCTCTCGGCCTTTCGCCGACTGACACCTGTAGCAGGCCGTCGCCTGTTACAGTGCGGCACCTGTCACAGGTAACACGTGACCAGTCACGTGCCACCTGTGAGGGGCAAATGATTAGGGGATTTTGCTCCCACGAATCGGAATGCACCACGTGGGCCAATCAGGTCCTGCCAAGTGTCCCCCAGTTGGAACTGTCAGGGCTTGCCACGTGGCACACGCTTATTCGTCCACCTTGGACCTATTATGTCATGACACGTGGCATACTCCATGCCTAATGGAGAAACCGGCCACCCAGGCCCAACTTCCGAGGGAAGCCCAATCAGCCCTAGGTTAACCTAAACCTAGGATTAGCACGTTTCCCAAGGTTATAAATACCTCCCTTAATCCTCATTAAGGGAGATTACATGAATTACACAGAGATAACAGGCTGATCACGCTAACAAAGCAGATTACCTACATTAAACACTCTCACCTAGAGAGACCCAATCACTTTAATTTCCGCATTAATTACTCCTTAATCAAGTACTAACTTGACCGTTGGAGGCGGAGCTCCCACCACCAGGAGTCTCCGTTGTTTTGCAGGTACAGGCGTCCGGTTCCAGTCTCGGAATTGTAACTCTCCCGCAGGACATCAGAAAACCCCGAAACAAAAAGTATTCATGCGATCTCAACGGTATGCAAACAAAGATTCAATTTGTTCCAAACTATTATTAGGCTAAATTGGTTGAATATTAATGCAATATATAATTCTAAACTATTGTGATCACCTTAATTAAAAAACAAGATAAAAAAGGAGCCTAAACTGGTCGTCAAAATTATCTTATTAGGTGTGATTCACTACTACAAAAATTGGCAAAGAGACCCGTTGAAATATGCTTGAGAGACCGCCTCACAACGGGTCTCTTTCTCAGGGGTCTGTTTGGTAAAGAGACCCATCATTAAAAGGGGTCTGTTTTTAAGGACAAAGAGACCCGTTGTAAGTGATAGTGGGTCTATTACATAAGTTATAAATTTAATACTTTTGAAGAAAATAGACACATTGTTAGAGGTAGGGGGTCTGTTAAGTGGGTATCAAACAGACCTACCCTGTTGTTTTGGGGTTTTTTGTACGTACCCGAATGGAGGGTGTGTACGTCCCTCGAGAGACAGATCTGCAATGCAACACTCGAACGGCCCAATCACCTGCAAAACAACGGACCCGGGGGTCCGCCTCCGACGATCAAGTCAGTGACCGAAATAATGTATTTTAGAGAGAGAAAGTAGAGAGAAGGGAGAGTAAATGTGGGGGGCATTGCCCTTGGAGAGAGAATTGGATCCCTTGAAACTGATGTAAAGATCAGTATTTATAGAGCATTGGGATATGTGCCTCTTAGGTTATTTAACCTAAGTAGATTGGCTTCCCAACGTTTTACGGGCTCTAGGGTTGTGGGCTTAAAGCCCATTTTCACCCTTCTATCATTGAGTGACACATGTCATGCTCTAATTGGCTCATTGAGCGCTGAGCTTGCGGACACGTGTCGAGGTGGCATTGGTCCACATATAGGGGGTATTTTTACCCCCAAACACCTGTCACATAACGGGTCTCTTTGTTCTTTAAGTTTTTTTAAAAAAAAATAAAAAATTGCTTTTTATTTGGAACGAATTTTTCATTAAAATTTTGAAAATTCTATTTATATGCTATATGTAAAAATTGGTTGATAATTCATAAATTGTAAATTTCACTTTGACCACGGAAAATAGCAATGGATTAAATTAAAATTAACGCATACAAAAAAAAACATCCAACGTAAATTTGCAACAAAAAAAAAAATAAAAATAATATACATACTATGAATTTACATAAATTTTTGTTTAAAAAAAAATTACATAAATTTAACAATCATTATAACACCAACAAGGCTTGAATACTCCATATTTATATCTCCTCGCAAACCTGACAAAAAAAAAAAGACAAATTACTCTTAATAATGAAATTGATATAAAAGTTTTAGTACTATAATCGATGATCCAACAAAAATAAGACAAATTACAAAACTATTTAATGCCAAAACAACAACTGACATATTTACGTGTTTTGATGGAGGATTGCACTAAGGATGTTTGGCATGCTATCCTTGAAAACAAGGAGTTTATTTATTAAAATCCTTGGTTGCTACCCACTTGAGAATAATAGGACCGAATGATAACATTCAACTCATAAATCTGTTCAATTTATAAAAAAATCTGAGGCGAATGATAAGAAACTTCATATAAAATACAATCAAATCATAAATATCGAGACAATTTAAACCAAAAAATCAAGTTATAGATCATTTACCTCAATTTTGATCAGAAGTTCAGTTATAAATTAGACAACAATTCTTCATAATTTGCAAATCTATTATCAAATCCTCATTATTTTTAGTGATATTCTTGAACTTTAGAAAAATAAGAGGATAAAGAGCAATAAGCATGTTGAGAGGAGAAAAGGAGCCATTTTTATTTTACCATTGTTAGAGTATATGTAGTGTTTCATTCAATGGAGAAGAAGGACAGTATGTCCCTCAAAAAAAAAAATGAAGGGCAGTATGTTGATTTACTGGAGAAGGGAAGAAGAACTAACGGGTGACGGCGGATTACTATAGGATGATATGAGGGTTTTAATTTGGGGTTGGGCTTGGGCTTGGGCTTGAGAGGAGGTTTTGCAGAGAGAGAATAGGTGAATGAATTTGGGAAATAATAATGATAAAAATAAAAGGTCAGGCACCTATTGCTACATTGGAGTTCGTAAAGAGCAAAGCTAAGAGACCCGTCAAATTAAAGAACGGGTTTCACAATTTTCTTCTCTCGTTAGAGATGTGGGACCCAATAAAATGAAGAGACCCGTTGCAATTGATAACTGATCTCTCATCTCTCTCTCTATATTTTTTCAATACTTATATGAGACCCGTTATAATTAATATTAGATCTTTTACATCAAACAGACCCGTTGGTAAAATAACGGGTCCTTAAATAGGGGTGTTTTTTCCAAGTTTTGTAGTAGTGATTTTCAATTACATATTCCCTTTAAACATGCAATATGATGATCAATAAAATATTATAAAACCAACATTAATGTTGGAAGCAATTCAACAATAAATTATCATTCAAATCAAATATAAATAAGCCTAATCATGATACACGCAATAAGAATAAAAAATAAGAATAAGTAAGTGAATTAATTACCCACTTTCCGCGTTTCCTTGAATTGCTACATCATGAATAAATTGTTAGTAACTTCAATAAATAATAAATTAAATTTATACAATTAAATTAAATAAAAGTAGAGTTGATTTCGTGTATTGTATGGAATCCTTAGAGTGCTTAGAGGAAGTATTGTGGAAAAATATGGAGGCTAGTATTTAGGCTAAAGAGGGAAATAGAGAAAGAGAGAATGATTTTGGTGTATAAGAGAGAAAGAGAATGATTTTTGATGCATAAGAGAGGAAGAGAAAATGATTTAGTGATCAAGCTTGTTGATGATCGAAAATGGGGTGATATGACCTCTATTTATAAAGAAAAAAGAAGGGTCAAAAGATCAAGAAAAGATCCAAATTCGAACCGGAATAAAACTCTTGCGATAGACAGAAGTTTTTGTGGTTTTTGTTTTTATCATATCTTTTGATGCAGAAATTGTAATAAGATAAATAATATGTCGTTGGAAAGCTTTTGAAGCCTAATTTCTAACTCAATTGAAATCAGATTTAAATCTTTTGTAGAATAAAGATATGGTTGAAATAGTGGGACTGTGTCAGTTTTGAATAGAGTTTCATATTTCTTTTATATCTTTTTCGTTATAGCTCGGAATTAATTTTATAACATATAATTGAAAATATAATTTCAAAGGCTATCCAACCATCTTATATTTGGAGAAAAATTATGAGGAACGAAAATCATATATGACTATCTTTGAACGTCTTTCAATTCAAATAGAATTAGGACTTTCAAAAAGAGGAGTTTTATTCAATTTCAAACTCTTAATCTTATCTTTTCAAAAAGGATAATTAAAATCTTTTAGAAACTTATAGAAGCTTCTAATTTATCCTAATTGGTTTAGGAATGAGATTAAATCCTTTGGACCCTCCACATGATCATTGGGTTGTAGGAAGGTTGGCTTAGGTTCAGTTTGGGCTCAGTTTAGTATTTTGGACATAACTTACACTAATTTTTCCCTGGTCTCGAGACCATCCATAGGAAGCTGGTCATGCACTATAAAAATGAACATTTGCTAGAAACAAAATAAACATTTACTAAAAATGAACATTTACTGGAAAAAAAATGAACATTTAGTAATTGAACATTGCAATATATAAAAATGAACATTGATAATAATGGAGCCCACTCTTATTTGGTTGCTTTCTTTTTCAGCTAATATCTCCAATTTTATTTTCTAGATATATTTGTTTCTTTTGTTGAGTATATAAAGTATTCTTTTTCATTTAATTCAAACTTTCTCCTCTTGATTTTACAATATTTTCTCTCTCATTGTTCATAATAGATTTATTATTTATTTTTTAAAAATTATGGTGTTGAATTGTTCTACATATTCAAGATTTTTGATTTTTTTTTTTTTGTTTATGAATAACAATGAAGCTTGCTATTGATGTTGGGTTTTGATGAGTCCTGATTAGGGGATTTTTATCCACCAATCACCGTCTGACAAGTGGACCAACCAGGTTCCGCCACGTGTCCTTCACGAAGGCCAATAGGAGCCTGCCACGTGTCAATCACAAATACGTCCTCTACGGACCAATCGAGGCACGCCACGTGTCCACCCATGCCAAATGGGAAAACCGGCCAACAAGGCCCAATCCTGTCTAGAGGCCCGGTCAGCCCTAGGTTTACCCTAAACCTAGAGAGTGGCACGCTTCTCAAGACTATAAATACTTAATTAATCCTCATTAATTAAGCAATGAAGAAATCAGGAAATTGAGAAGCAATTGAGAGGCAATTGACCAAGCAATTAATCTCACCTGAAGAACAGAGAAGAACAGAAACATTACGGAACACTAATGACCGGCTAATCTCGCTAACAAAGCAGATTACCAACATTAAACACTCTCACCTAGAGAGGTCTTATTACTTTAATTTCCGTATTAATTACTCCTTAATCAGGTACTAACTTGACCGTTGGAGGCGGAGCTCTCAGGAGTCTCCGTTATTTTGCAGGTACAGGCGTCCGGTTCCAGTCTCGGAATTGTAACTCTCCCGCAGGACATCAGAAAACCCCGAAACATTTGGCGCCGTCTGTGGGGAGAGTACTTCAGAGATGGCATCCAAGTCTGTACCGACTCCTGAAGAGAGGCGTCCCCTAAACGACCCTCAAGTTCAGTCGGACCATGATACCGAAAGTGAATTTGAAGTGGAAACTCATACAGCTCCAGACGGGACCCTAAGGGCCCGACGTACCCGTCATACCGAAAGGAGGGAACGGGAGCATCTTCAAACAGGAAGCGAGCCAGCAGGCGCACCGCCTGTTCGGCAACAGCCGACTGATGGGTCTGCTCCCATCACAAGGAACGAACTCATGACCTTCATGAGGGACTTCAAGGGAGAGATTCAAGAGTTGATCAACAAAAAGCCGCCTGCTTCAGTCAAAGAGCAGTCGGCCAAAAAACTTTCCACTTCACTGAAGAGGAAGCCAGTTCAAGGGCGAGAGGCGACTCCTCATCCTAAATCCAAGAAGCGGGAGCCACCTGCTCTTGATTTCACAAAATTCCGTTATCCTACGGGAAATAGGAAACCGGTTCGTCATATTCAGGCGGACGGGTCAAAGCAAACGTTCACAGATGCTCGGCTACTGCTAGAGCAGAAGAAGAGTGACCGATTGTCAGAGTCGGCTTCTACTTCAAATTTTCAAGACAGTTTGCGAAATGCCTCGATGAGGCATACTCAGTCGTACCATGAGAGTCAGTCAGGCGGCACCTCCCGTCAAGCCGGCTTTCATAGTGCCCAGGCGGTACCAAACTTACCATTTGTGCCGCAACAACAGTATTTTATGCAGCCACCTCCATTTAGTGGACCTGCAGCAAAAAACGTCCAACCTATGGACTGGCAGCTACGGTTGCTTAGACTTGGTGAACAGCCGTCGGCCTTCTCCAAGGAAATTACTGAAGCCGCTCAGCTGGCCAAAGTAAAAAATGTACTAGTAGGCGGCTATGACGGCACTACTAACCTAGAAGACCATCTGATGGCATTCACCAACCTGATGTACCTTCAAGGGTTGGATGATCCCACTTGGTGCAAGTGTTTCCCAGCGACTCTCAAGGGAATCGCACAGCAATGGTTCGGCAACCTGCCGACTGGTTGTGTAAACAGCTTCAGGACGCTTGCTTACTTATTTGCCTCCAACTTCGCCATGAACATCCCTGCGAAGAAAACGACCCTTGATTTGGGAACAATTCAGCAGGACGAGAAGGAGGGGCTTCGTTCTTACATCAGGCGGTTCAACCTGATGAGAATACAGATTCAAGGGTTACCGGATGAGGTAGCTTATACTGATTTTTTTAGAGGTCTCAAAGACGGGTCTACCTTCAAATTTGATTTAGTTCGAAAAAGGGTGGCGACTCTTCAAGAGGCCTTGATTGAAGCAGAAGCCTATATACAGGCGACTGATCTGTGTACGATAAAACAGTCGGACGGGAAAAGGTTCGACAAAAGAGAAGGACGACAGAAACAGTCGTCTAACAAAGATGAGAAAAGAAAAGAGGTCTGGGCGGTTGATTCCTCTAAACAGCTGGCCCAGAAAAGGAAAAAAGAATTCAAACCATACTCCCCAAAGTATGTGTTTAACAAGGATAACCAGTTTATCCTAAAAGAAATAAAGGGACGGTTCTCAATTGAGAAGCCGGTCCCCATGAAGGGTTCTGCAAACAACCGGAACCAAGACAAAATCTGTGCTTATCATGATGACGTTGGTCATCACACCAATGACTGCATCAGTCTCATGCGGTACCTAGACCGCTTGGCTGAGCAAGGTGATCTTGACACTTATGTCAAGAAATCTACGGGGAACACTTCCTCAAAAAAGCAATCGGCCAAAAAGAATCAACAGGCCGACAGTTCCGATACAGATGATGCAGTCGTCTACACCATTGCAGGCGGCTTCTCAGGAGGCGGCCCCACTATTAGGGGCAACAAAGATAATATAAGGCGGTTAGATGTAAATTCCGTTCACCAAGAACGGCCGTCCAAATATACATTTCCTGAGATTGTCATCACTGAAGAGGATCTAGGAGGAGTAAGGGGGCCGCATGACGACCCTCTCGTTATTGAATGTAAAGTGGCCAACCATAGAGTTGGCCGAATCCTCATAGATACCGGGAGCTCCTCAGATCTCATCAGCAGCAAATGTCTGTCGAAACTGAAATATCAGACTGACTGCATACATCCGGCCTCCCACCCTTTAGTAGGGTTTGGAGGAGGAGTCGTCCACCCACTGGGACGAGTAGATTTACCCATTCGCCTGGGCGAAAAAGGGGAAGGACGACACATGGTAGTCCGGTTCCTAGTAGTAGAGGAACTCTCGGCCTACAACATGATTCTGGGTCGACCAACCCTGAATAATTCCAAGGCTGTTATAATCCCGTCTCTTATGCTGCTTAAGTTTGAGAGGGATAATGGAACAGTCGGCTCCCTAAGGGGAGATCAGAGGATGGCCCGAGAGTGCTATCTCTCGGATGTCAAGCCCACTGTTATGGCCACTGGGTCAAGTGGAGAAAAAACAGACCTTGACAATGTCAAGGAGAGTGCGCCTGTTCAAGAAACAGGCGACAAAAAGAG